GGGCGCGGTTCGGGTCGGGTCGGGTAAAACGTCTAGCTAGCAACGGGTCCAAGAGCGACGGCATTACCCGCCCGTTCGAGAACACTGTAGTACAGTAGGTAGTGTCAGTAGACCCCTCGCGATCTGATTGGTCACCGAATCGTGACGTCACCATTTGTCCTCCCGCCCGTAGTTCCAATTACGGCTCGTGTGCCCGTCTCAATATTAAGTGTTGTAACACACACATGATAAAAATATCCTCGGTATTTTGTCTTAGCACCTCTCAGCATCGGTAAATCACGATACTTTTACTCAGATGCCGAGCTGGTCGAATGATGCGGACGGATTACAAACAGCCCTCACCTCACTCCCGTACGATCAGACGATCAGCTGAGCGGCCAAGCAGCGGCCATCTTGGATGTGAGGTTATGGGCGCCCGTAATCCGTCCGCATCTTTCGACTCGCTCGGCATCTGAGTAAAAGTATCGTCATTTATCGATGCTAAGGGGAGCTAAGACAAAATACCGTGGATATTTTTATCGTGTGTGTGTTACAACACTTAAGGGTACGCGGGAGACAAATCGGGGTTGCACTACGATTCCGACTACGGGAGTATTCCCGTGGCTGTCAGCCGGCTGTCAAATCTCCTCGCCACCGAGCAGTGACCGAGCGACAGCCGCACAGGGTTTGGCGGACAATGCGAGGTGCAGTCTCCAAGAGCATCCTTCTCTCTCACTCAACAGCAGTCCACCGGCGAGGCGGCGGCCGGCCGGGTCGTGCCGGGCCGGTACGGGCCTGGCAGCATGAGACAACGGTCAATCACACAATGCGCTCTCGCTCGCTCGCCTGTCGTAAATCAGTTACCGGCCGGCCAGCGCGCCTGGCTTGCCCTCCCCGGCCAAAACGTGGGGCAAAGCGGTTTTTCGGCCAATTTCGTTCCAAGATTCCGCCTAAACTATCACTCCGACGAACACGCGTTTGATGGAAGCGTAATCTCTGAACTTTCCTCTACTTCCTTACGTTTTAGTTTTTGAGATTGGACCAATTGGAAGCCCGCTAGAGGTCGGCAAAAAAAGGTCTGTAAGTCGTCAAAAATCACATACTTTGGACCCAAATATTGGCCTAACTGTGTACAATCTCCAAAATATCTCGACGAGAGGAAGTAGATCTTAAGAAGTACTACCAGAAGCAAAAACCTGCAGGTCTGTAGCACACATAGTTTTATGGCAATCTTGGAACGAAATTAACATTAGCAGCATAGGGAGGCATATAGGCGAAATTGTCTAATTTGAACTACGGGCGGGAGGACAAATGGTGTCATGATTCGGCGACCAATCAGATCGCGAGGGGTCTACTGACACTACCTACTGTACTACCTTGGGGCCCGACGGCACCCCCTAATCCTGGCGTCATCGGCCGCCTTCCCCATGGGAACAGTCACATCGAATCGATGTTGAGGCGACGTGGGCTGTGAGCATCGAGTCGATGTGGACCAGCGAGTCGACCATCAACGTGATAACGGCAGTGAAATCCACGTGGATAAGTAAGGGATGCGTCGCGTAGATGTGAGAGGGATGCATCCCTGTCTACCTTTTCCCTGGCATCCACGAAGAAACCCCGTGGATAGTATCGTTAAGTCCTCGGCGAATCTACATCAACAAACTATGGACGTATCCAGTCGACGCATCGACAAATGATCGACGTGGAATCGTCAGGGAGCTGTGGACGCATCCACCACCCAGCCACGTGGCTTCTACTCCCGTTTAAACCCTCGACGGTTCACGCGCTAGTCCACGTCGATATACTGCTCATAGCCCACATGGCGTCAACATCGATTCCATATGGTTAGCGAACTCAGCTAAGCGCCTGATGGGTAGGCAGACCCGCC